TTTTTTTTACGAATCAAAAATTTATTATTATTATTTATTTATTTATTTATTAATAATAATTATTTTGACTATTTCGAAAATAAAATACTGACAAAAATATTTGGTTGGTTAACACAACACTTATAATAAGAGTATTTAAATTACTAATTTAAAACTTATTAATCGTAAATTATTAATTATTAATTACAAATCATCTTTATTATTTATTTATTCATTTATTTATACATTTTATAATAAAAAAATAAATTTTTGTTTTATAAATAAAAAAAAAAAAAAATATCATTAAATATTTTTTTCATTTTTGTCACTGCGTCACGTTTAAAAGACTTTTTATTGTAGTCAATTTTTTTTTTTTTTTAAATTTAAATTTAAATTTAAATTCAAATTCAATTTTTTTTTTATTAACGGGGATGATAAAATCATATCAAAAAGAAAAAAAATTTATAAAAAAAAATATATATTTTCGTGTTAGTTGTATAGCAAAAAAAAAAAAAAAAAAAAAATTTCCACAAAACATGATGACTATTAATTACTTATTTATTTATATATTTTTTCAAACCGTTATTATTATTATTATTATTATTAATTCACAGATACTTGTATATAATATGTTCACGTTCGATGAAACGCAATCTTAAGTTAAAATTTTTTTTTTTTTCTTCGCAAAATATTTTATCTTTAATTGCTTTGATTAAAAGCAAAAAAAATTGATTTACAAAAACAAAATATTTCACGTGTGATAATAATTAAAAAATTATGTAATCGTTTTTAAAATTACACGTTTTTTTTTTGTAAGAAAAATTAAAAATACTGATGATCTTCGATCAATCCGCTTCTTGTAATTTTCTTTAACTTTTTTTTTTTTTTTTTTTTTTCTCCAAAAAATTCCTTAAAAAATTTATCTATATAAATTGGCAAATTCTTTTAAACAATGTGAAACGTTTCTGCTACTCTGAGCGCTGGAAAAAAAAGAAAAAAAATTAATTTTTTTAAAATAATGATTTACTTGAAAAAAAAAACTTTTTAAAGGAAAATTTTTTTTTACCTGATCAAAGACTGATGAAAATCTTCCAATTGTTTTTGTGTTGCTGTCGTTGCTCCCCCAGAATTATGAGTCGGCAATGATTTCAGGGATTCTTCGAGCCACCGACTCACGGCCTGGAAAATCAAATTTTAATTACAGTCGAATAAAAAAAAAAAAAAAAAAAAAAAAATGAATTGAATCGTGCGTTGTCAATATTTACGTTTCTGTCGTGTTCCAACAGCGCCATTATGACGTCCGCGACACCTCCTAATATGTGAGTATGAAGTGAATAAACGCAGGCTTGTATTAAATTATGAACCAACCTCTTGCCGTGATTTTGAATTATTGCTGAAACTAATTGCCGTCTAATTTCAATGTCTTCCGAATTCTAAAATAAAAAAATCAAATTATTAAAAATTATTTTCAGGTTTCAGATTCAAATTTTTGCATTCTTCACAATTACTTTGTTATTCTTTCCGCAAATTAATAAATCACAGAAAAATTTCATTGTGGAAGCATTGGCATCTCTATGATCTAAGGAACAAGCCATCAGTGCGCATTCCAAAATAGCCGGTAAAGAAGGACATTGTAGAAATTCTACGGGAATTCTTTGTAAAAATCTGGCACATAATCTGAAAAAATCGTCGACCGTGTCTGGGTGATGTTTAAGTCCATTTTCCTCCTACGAAATAAATTATTTATAAATATGTCATTTTGCTAATTTATTTATTTGTAAAATACTTTCAGGTACGAAAACGATTCTTCTCACTTGTAAAACTTGAAATGTGGCTTGGATAAATGCTTGCAACATTTCCAATAGTGCAGGTACACATTGAGGTTCGCAAGCGCACTCATCGACCAAAATGGATCCGAGATACAGAAAGCAACTGTGCCTATGTACATTGTAAAGTGGTACTATCTGCAATTTTAAAAGGTATTATTATTATTATTATTATCGAGACATGTTTTAATTATAATTTTAATCGATGATTGAAAATTTTACTTACTTGCTGAACTATAGGTTGAAGCAAATGACAAGATTGTCGTCCGACGCAGCGAACGGCAAACCTTAAACATCTGCAACATCGCTCCATTACCCTAGTATCCGATTGAAATTTGTTGCACGCCTCGGAAAGAGCCGGCCACGTTTCCGTGAAAACAGCAGAACAAGGATTGATGGAACCATTTGCTACAGATGGATTTGTGTGACGAAATATGGCTGCCAATCTGTCCAACCAAAGTGCCGGATCCGTTGGACTTCCTTTCACATTATTTGCATCTAACTAAAAAGTAATTATTTTGCATTTTAGGTACTATAAATTTAATTTTATAAACTTCCGACGGAAAATTATTAAATTAATTACCTCGTTCAATTTGCTAAGAGGTTCGATTTGAACGTAGCACAAACTTTTCATTGCAGAGTAAATTTCATTGGCGGGGATTTTCGACATGACCATCGAAGTGCTTTTTAGTAAACTAAGAGCAGCTTCCGTAGATATCGTTGACTTTAAAGCTTCAATGGTGTGCATGGCCAGAACATTAAAGTGCTGAGCCATTTTATCACTACAACTCGAACAAATTAATTGTAAAGAATTAGCTGCAGCTGACGTTAGTGGAGGATGCCGTAAACAAAAGAGTAAAAACATTAAGACGGAATCTGAAAGAAATTGTAAAAAGGATTTACCGTAAGTAATTTTAACGATTTTCATTTAGTAATGTTAATAAATGTTTAACAACAATATCTTCTCTTATCTGTCTACCTTCAACAATTAAACGCATGAGAAATAATACTAATGGCAAGTAAATACCAACTTTTTTCTTACTTATCAGGTAATTATAAGTTGAGACAAAATTTCATTAAACTTAAACTTACCCAAAACTTCATTTGAATGCCTTTCGATCCATTCATACAATTCACCTAATAATAACACAGATGTATGCCTCACAGCAATATGAGTTGTTTCTGGATCTAATTCTAATATTGCTTTGACTACTTGGGGTACGATTTCGTTTTCTTCCCTTTAAAATCAAATACAAATAAAATAGACTAGTTTTGTCAATAAATAAATATTTATATGTGTATACCGCGATGACTTACGGTGAAATTATTTTGGCCAATGCTTGCATTAAAAACAATGCAGCTTCTGTGACATCCCATGTAACTCCAGGAGCTTGTAAGCTGAGGAACATTTGTCTAAAACAATTCGAAGACCCTACTATAAATACAACATCTTTCATTAACTCGCAAACTCTGCTCCTGAAATCTGTAAACTCATCCATGTCATCGAGAAGACCTTCCTGAAGTGAAAAACATCACAAACAAACATATAATTTTTTAATTAAAATGTTAAAATTTAGGGAAAACGTTACAATTTAAAATTTTTTGCTTGAAACCTCACCTGATCTTGTTCCATTCTACTATGCCTACATAAAGATTCTATTAATCTTTCCACATACGGCTTAAAAATATTTGTCAAATTTTCATTATTTTTTTTAAACAGTTCTTCAGATAACCTATACCAAAAATTAAATGTTATTTCAGAAACCTAAAAAAATTATTCAAAATTATTCATCAACAATAACAAAATCAAATTTAAAAAAAATTCTTATTGATTAGTATTAAAATTAAATTCACTTACTTCATAGTCATGATGACCAACACACATTAATATTAAATCTAAAATTTTAAGATAATAATGATTTTTATTTGTATAATTATGATTTACTATTTTTTCTAGAAGTGATTCGCCTAATTCTGTAAATATTCTACAATAATTTTTAGACCTGAAAAAAAATCATTACATGTTATAACAAATTTATAATTAACATTTTAAATTTAAAATTAACTAATAATAATAATAATAACAAAATTAAATTGAATAAAACTAACTTATCTTGATCTTCATGAGCTACAGAAAGATGGTAACTTTCTTCCAAAGCGACTACCCCTGAAAATAATTGTTCATCAAGTTTTTGATGATATTTATATTCCAATGTTTGAAGCAAACTACAAACACAGTCTGTTGCAGCTTCATGTAATAGAGGAGATAACTGGAAAAAAAAAAAAAAAAAATGTTTTTTAATAATTTCTTTGTAAGCTTGAATACAAAAATTTAACCTGAAAGCAAAACAATATCAATTTATATTTACCTGATGATTTTGTAATATTGAAAAAGCATGAACTGCTACCATATTATTGCTAATATCGTTTAACGAGATGGCTCTTACAGCTATCCAAGATGAAAAGCATCTCAAGACTTTGACATGAATTTGTTGGTTGTCACAGTTTGAAAGGCAAGCTTTCTAAAAAATTTTAAAAAAATAATTTTTTAAAAAAAAATTAATTGAAAAGTGTATATAATTCTGAAACATATTTGCAAATACTTACCAAAAATTCCATTAATGTTGATGAACAAGAAGATAATTCATCAAGAACTTGATGTCTTCTGTTTTCACCCAATCTAAGTGATTTTGAATTAACTTCTTCTGGCAAAAGAATAAGCACTTCTAGTAAAAGTGGAATAGACCTATCACTAAATCTGTAAAACCAATTTTTTTACATATAATTTCTTTTTAATTGAAAAATTATTTTCTATAGTGAGCAACAAAATAATGATTTGTATACATAAAAAAACAAATTATAGCAAATAGTATAAAAATCGAATAAACTTTTACCTTCCCATTAAATCCAAAACAGGTTTTTCCCAAGAAGACATTTGAAGAGATAATGCAGCTAATGCTAAACATAATTGTGTCACTACTACTGAATTACTACCCTCATCTTCTTGTTCAACATATTGAATAAGAGAATCTCTTAAAGATATATGAGCTTCAGGAGGAAGTTCATGAAATGAGTATTGAATTTTGGTCCTCATTGTTTGGGCAGCAAAATAATATGATTCAAGGTTTCTTTTTTCTTGTAACATTTCGTCCGCAATTTTCCACGAATAAACCTACAATAAATTAATACTTTTTCTTGAGTAACCATTAATCAGTTAGCAAAATAATAATGAATTCTTAATGAATATTGTTTAGGAAATTCAAAACATATACAATTTGAAATAACTATATTTTTTGAAAACAAGTAAGATTAGAGGAAGCAGTTTAAAATTATATTTTTTGTAACTATCCATAATTACTCCTCAGTTACACTAAAGAAATTAAAGAAATACTTTAAAATTAATGAAGTAATATTTTTAAAAAAACTTACAGATTGCTGTAACTCTCCAAGCCATTGAGACGCCTTCTCCCTTTCGGACCAGTTTTGATTATGATATAATGTAACAACAGCCTGATAAACTGTCTCTAAAGGCGGTGGACTTTCCATTTTATTATAAAACTATTTTCTTAACTCAATCCATAAAATATTACACTTTCTAATATAAGAAAATAAATAAATTTTTCACAAGAAGCTACCTTCCGAAAATGTCAATCGCAACGTTGCCTTACGACCGGAAAAACATATTCCATAAACGTTCAACACATTTGCAAAAATATTTTTATATTTATTTAAATAATAACTACGTTATTAATAAATTATAAATAATTTGCGTTTTTTTAGAAATTATAAATACGTGCAGATTAAAACAACTGCATTTAAAAATTATATTAAAAAATAAAAATGTTTCAAAAGTAGAAAAATTTTATCTCTATGAAATTTTTCATTCGAGATATAAACATAATTATCATTCAAAATAGTCGATTGTAACTGAATTAATTGAAGTCTTTGTAAACGAAAAATGCTTGTCTTGCATTTTTTTTTCTTTTTAAATTAAATTATAAAATAACAATTTGTCATTCGAAATTTCTTCCTTTTTTTTTTTTTTAATTTTCAGTTACATTAATAATTTATAAATATTAAAATGTTTATTTACAGTAAAATAAAATACATTAAAACTTTTGTCAATTGAATACATATAGATTACAAAAAACAAATAATTATGTGAATTAAACGTCGGCATAATGTTTCATTTTCAAATTTCGCTGTAACTTAAAAGGAAAATAATATGAATATCAAATTTGTAATTTTTTTTGTGTTGACTATTTGATTACTTTGGTGATATTAATAAGTATGCTTGACCTACCGCTTTTATAATAGATTTTCCTTTTGAACTTTTAATCTCCCTAATCAATTTTTTTAAGGTTATTATATTTTTATTGTAAAAATGCAGTACTACATTGATATCAACTTATCTCAGTAGTTTTACTGTTGTCGCACGGCATACATCACCAGATAAAATGACTTCACATAAAAAATTATTAATTTCCACACCTAATTCAAAATTAAATGAAAAAATTGAGGAATGGTTGAAGTGGGACAAAAATGAAGATACAATCAAAGAATTAAATTTATTATTAAAAAATGAAGACTTTAAACAATTAGAAAAATTATTCTTAAACAGATTGGAATTTGGTACAGCTGGTTTAAGATCAAAAATGGGAGTAGGTTTTAATCAAATGAATGATTTGGTGGTTATTCAAACAGCTCAGGGATTGTGCGAATATTTATTAAGTTATTTTAAAGACACTTCAACTAAGGGAATTACTATTGGGTATGATGGACGTTATAATAGTAAAAGGTAAAATTAATACTGTTTTCAACTTTTTTTAACATTTTATTTAAAATTTTTATGTTATTTTAAGTTTCTATCAAGCCCAAAAAATAGGCAAAGCTTACATCTGCCTTTCGATTTTTAATTTTTATCTATCTCATTTCAATCGGTTTATTTTGTAATAAATATTAAATGATATGTTAACTGTCTTTGCTTGAGGAAGTAATTTTAAAAAATTATTTATTTAGTAATCTGAGATTTACAGGGTGTACTTTTATTTAAGCACTGCCTTTTAATGATTAAATTACTTATAAAAAATTTCAGTTTATATTTATTTCGAATAAATAAGGCTCGAATCAAACTTTTAATTAGATAAATTTCATTTTGGCTTATACAATGCTTAAAATATAGCCCATAATGATGATCTACCTTGAAAAAATACACCATATTTCAAAAATCTAAATCAATTAAGGTATAAAAATACCTACCTGCCCAAAAATACCTTATTTTTGACCACTTAATGTAGCTTGAAGTTACTTATTTTTTGTGAAACAACTTCAAAGTAAATTATTTAAAACTGCATGTGTAAATTGTTTGCAGATTTGCAGAATTGACAGCTGCAGTATTTTTGAGCAAGAATATAAAAGTTTATCTTTATTCTTACTTATGTCCAACCCCTTTTGTACCTTTTGCTGTAAAAAGGTATGATTGTGTGGCCGGTATAATGGTAACTGCATCTCACAATCCGAAAGAGGACAATGGTTATAAAGTGTATTGGAGAAATGGCGCACAGGTAAACTTATTATTTTTTAAAAAATTTTTTCAAAATTTTGGTTTAAAATTTCTTTTTTTTTTTTTTTACATAATAAACATGTATATTTTGTAATTTAAAATATTTTGAAGGTATTCGATGCGTAAAAGCAGAAACTTTTTCATTCTTATAAACATAATATTATTATTATTATTATTGTCCTTCATTGTTTTACGTAAATTTGTAACGGTCAACTCAAGTAAGTTTCCGGTCACTTTGTATGAGAAAAAAAAAAAAAAAAAAAAAAAAACGTTATAATGTGTTATTATAAAATTTTGAAAAAAAAAAAAAAAAAAAAAAAGGTGGAAAAATGACTTTATCCATTGTAGAAAGGAAAAAATTTTTTTCGGTAAAAATGAATCAAAAATATTTTTCCACTTGAAAAAAAAAAAAAAATCAATTTTTTTATTTAAAAAAAAAAAACTTGAAGATAATTTTTTTTTTTTTTTTTTTCCCCCTTTAAGATAATATCACCGCATGATAAGGAAATTCAAAAACACATTTTGAATAATTTAGAACCTTGGAAATCGTCATGGGATTTACAATTACTTTCAAACAACGACAATATCGTTGACCCGATGTCTGACGTCATAAGTTCCTATTATAAAAAAATCAAAGAAATAACTTTGTTCCCGGAAATGAATAAAACATCTCCCATTTCGATGGTGTACACGGCTATGCACGGCGTTGGATTTCGATACATTGTCAAAGCATTCGAAGTTGGAAATTTTGGTAAATTTTATCCGGTCAAAGAACAAGTCGAACCTGATCCCGAATTTCCCACCGTGCCATTTCCAAATCCGGAAGAAGGGAAAAGCGCTTTAAATTTATCAATGGAAACTGCCAAAAGGCATAATTGTACCTTGATTTTGGCAAATGATCCGGATGCTGATAGATTGGCCGTTGCTGAAAAAATACCCGAAACGTAATTATTATCAATAAATTCTCTCATTCGACTGACGTAAATTACAAAAAAATTTTTACCTTCCCATTTTTTTTTTTTTTTCTAAAGTGATAATCAATGGAAAATTTTCACCGGAAATGAATTGGGTGCACTTTTGGGTTGGTGGGCTTTATTCTGTTATAAAGCATTAAACGAAAATAAAAATAATTTCAAAGATGTTTACATGCTCTCAAGTACGGTATCATCAAAAATATTAAGCACAATGTCAAAAGTTGAAGGTTTTCAGTTCGAGGTTAAAAATTGAATCTTATTTTCCTTCTTTTTTTTTAAATTTAATTTAATTTATTTTAATAATAATAATAATAATTTGTTTTCTATAAAATTTAAATTAGGAAACTCTCACGGGTTTCAAATGGATGGGAAACGTTTCGCACAATTTGATGGAATCGAAAAAAACGATTTTGTTTGCTTTCGAAGAAGCCATAGGATTTATGTACGGAACGGAAGTTTTGGATAAAGATGGAATATCGGCTGCTGTTAAAATGGCGGAAATGGCTTCTTATTTGAAACAAAAATACGGTATGACTCTTCGAGACAAATTAAACGAATTGTATAAAATCTACGGACAACACATGTCGTTGAATTCGTATTACATTTGTCATAATCCCGTGACGATAAATTCCATTTTTCAAAGGCTGAGAAATTTCACTGAAAATAATAATCAGGTGAGTATAATATTAAAGCATTTCATTAATCTAATATTTAACTTAATAATAATAATAATAAATTAATTGTTTCAGAGTTACCCCAAATCCATACTGAATGGAAAATATGGAATTTGCGGCGTCAGAGATCTCACGACAGGCTACGACGATTCTTATCCAGATAAAAAAGCTAGACTTCCCACGTCGAAATCAAGTCAAATGATTACTTTCAAGTTTACAAACGGACTCATAGCCACGTTAAGAACGAGCGGCACTGAACCCAAATTGAAATATTATTCGGAATTGTGTGCGGATCCTAAAGAACAGTAAGAATTTTATCATATTGAATTATAACGTTACGAAAATTTTAAATAATAATAATAATAATGATATCTCGAAACATTTTAGAAACACGGAAAAACTTCAAAACACTTTGAAAGAAATGATCGGAGCTTTAGTCGAAGAATTCTTAGAACCTGATAAAAACGGATTATTGCCGAGAAAGGAATAACTTCCGGTGAGTTTTATTAATTATTTAATTTAAATGTTATCGCTCGTAAAAGGGAAACGGAAACGTGACGAATGTTTTTTAAAACAAAATGTATTCTTCGAGCCATAGTAAAAATTGTTTGATTTGTTTGCTCATCTGAAACAGATTTTTAACAGTAATCATGATCTTTTTTTTTATTTTAACCGTTGTTTGTAAAAAAAAAAATTTGAAGAAATACCCAAACGTGTACAGGTTCTTGTTCATTCCAAATTATTTTCGGATAAGGTGTTATTGATTCGCCGTAAATGCGTGATATGGATTCTTCGTATAAGTAAATAATACCCGCGGCATCTTCGTATAAAATTTCATTTCTTAATGCCAAACGAGCGTGAGCTTCCGATAAAGTCGTACTAAATTGGGAAAAGTATGCATGCGTGTATTACAGGTACTTAAGCGAAATATTAAGCGTGCGATCCCTTACATTGTTTTGATTGCGTTTAAAGGTAAACATTGCGGTCTTTCTCGTCTGCTTGCAACAAAATAATTTTGAATTAACTGCGAAGCTTCCTCGGACAGGGAAATTTTTTTAGAATTTATTATTTTAAAAAACTTTTTAAAGTCATCTACAGGTACCGACGGTGACGTTTCGATAGTTTCCCGACTACTTTTAAGAGCCGTTTGTAAATTTGCAAGGCAAATATTAACGTGTTCGTTTTCACTGATTTCTTCCGCGAAAAAAGGCATGCCGAAAACGCTAAAAAAAAAAAAATTTTTTTTTACTTTTTGATTGATCGAGCAAACAAAACTTTATTTCTTCGAAAATAACTTACTTGATGAGAGTTTTTAATTTTGATAAATGATTGATCGTTTTGTTAATGTTGCACCAGTACGTCCAAATGGCGGAATTTAGGGGTGAGAAATCAACGTTTGATTTTCCAAAATCTCCTTTATTATTCAATGCGATTTGACCCCTTTCGATTGTTTGACAAACGTGATTCGTTTGTTCGTTTTTAAATTTTGACCAATCACCAATATTGCAAACTCCTTTCGTTCCCAAAATAAATTGACCGGGTTCTGAACAAATGACGTCAGATTTCACACCCGTTTTAAATGCTCCTCCTCCTCCTCCTTGTTAATGACATATGATTAATTGGACTAATCGATTTAATTATGTAAGGTGTCGAAAACGTATTTTACCTATGAATGAATTAGTAGGAAAATTAACTAAATATTTTTCCGTCAATTTTCCAGCCGCGTTAAACAAAATTTGAATGTTTAATGAGTCGTTTCCAATTGCGATTATAGGAACTGGAATATTATTTTTCTGAAATTTCATTTAGTTATTCTTTAAGTACCCATTAAATATGTTGTAAGTGTAGTTAAATTTAAATATTACCGTGGATGCTAAACTTAGCATTAACCCTATTTTCAAATGAAGAAATGAAGATTTCGGTAGTACGAATGAACCGAGAAGTGATGAAATAGCAATAACGAATGACCAAGGACTAGTAGGGCTTTGAGTTCGGCTAGAAAAAAAAAAAAAAAAATTTTCTTATGTAAAAAGTATTAAGTATTTGGTATAGAGAAAAAATAATAATAATAATACTTTAACCAGCCTTATTTCTAAGTATAAATTTTCAATCGTTTCCGGTATTGTTAAATCATTTAAAAGTTCCGTTTTACTGCGTGTTATGTTCATTGCTTCGAAAAAATTGTTATGCAATCTTCCAGTTATTATATAACTCTCTCCCAAAGATAGATCAGTGACGTAGCAAAGTTCATCTGTAAATTAAACAGCAGTCGTTTAAACTATAAGATATTTAAAAAAATGATCATAAGTCGTGCCGTTATTATTACCTTTAAGTTTAACGGGTAAAGATTGAAATCGTTTTTTTTTATTGTAAGCTGAAGTTGATACAAAATGACATAAAATTTCATCGCCGACATCGGTTGATGGAATATATTCTTTCATGGGATTGCAGCAATTTGGGCAAAAAATTTTTGATATTTCGAAATATCTTTGACAGTTATTACCCGGGCAAAATTTTGTTTGGCAACAATAAAATGAACTTCTTCTGTCGATCAATGCAAAATATTTTTACTGTATTTAACAAAAAAAAAAAATATTCAGTTTTTAAAATGTTGAAAATTTCTTACATGTATTTCCCAATTGTGGTTTTACTGAATAAAAATCCTTGTAGAGATAGTAGAATATTTGTCGGTTTTAAAAAAATAAATGAAACGTCATTGATTTCCGTTAAATTTTTCAAAAAGGGAACAATTTGAAAATCGTTTTTTTGTAGAGGTAAACACGTCTTAATTAAAAGACATGCACAAAACAGAACATTTTTTGTCAATTGTAATGCGAATATTGGTTCTTTGACAAATAACCGATATAAAGTTTCTGAAAAGTAAAAAATAATCACATTATCTATGCAGAATTTGAATGATTTTAAAAGGGAAAAGGGAAAACCCACCTGACATTAATTTCAGCTCATGTAAATCTAAAGTAAATTGAAAACGAAATGGAGGATAACCCTTTCCTTCTCTAATTGTACCGCCGACATCGTTTTCATATTCAGAAACAGCCATTTCCAATTCGTTTAATATATTTTGATTTTGTAAAAAAACGACAAAATCTTTTTCGAATTGAATTTTAAAAGAAAAAAACTTACTCATCGTGAATGACGTTTTTAGGACGCTTCCTTGATTTTCAAAAGTAACGGTTTTTTCACAATTCGAATACTGCTTATTAGTTTTTTGCTACTACTCTAGTCAATCAACTTGTTAAGTGCAAAAAAGTGTAAACGAATATTATTTCGAATAATTATTAGTTAGAAATTTAAAAAAAAAAAAAAAAAAAAAGTTAAAATTATTAGATTAATTTTATTTATTTTTTCAACTGGTAAAAATCTCATTTATAACAAAACATTTTATTTTATTTTTGATTCAATTACTGAACGATAGTTTTTCTTCTTTCTTTTTCCAGGAGAAGTCGATTTAATTCCTGCAAAATAAATGATTTACAAGTTAAATTTTTTTTAATAAGCTTAAAGCTGTATTTTAATAGTATGATTTAAGTAGACTCACTTCGTCTTTTTGAGCACGTAATATATCAATGGCTGGTTCTTTAAAATTCGGATTTTTCGAAGGGTCATCAGAAATGTTAAACGTCTCTAGTTCAGAAGTCTGTAATAATAATAATAATAATAAATTGTGTTGTTAAATGGGAAAAATAATTGGATAACAACAAAATACAAATTAAATACTTATTTGTTAAATAAATCTTATTACGGTCAGTGTAAATTTTTTCTCGATAATAAATATATATAAATGAAATATCAATAATAGTTTGTTTTTTTTTTTTTGTAATACCTGAGGAAATTTAGTTGTGAAAATATGTTTAAATCTTTCTATTATAATCCCTTGATTTGATGAATGTAAAGTTTTAACATTAACATCTAATTGACTATAAGAATCAGCTCCATAAGGTATAAGAAGTGGTTTATTATAATCCATTGAACATCCCTTCCTAAAATTGTTATAAATTTAAAAACTCCAATTTATAAATTTTCTCACAAATTAAATAGTGGTGATAAATTTGTTTACCATTGTGAACCGTTAAAACCATGATGATGAAAAATATCTTTTAATTTTTTAACAAGATTTGAATCTTTATCAGAATAAAATAACAAAGAAGCTCCTTGAGAATGAGCTACTTGTCTGAGTGTTCGACAAATCAATTTTTTTTTTTCTGGTTCGAAACTTTCAAACAAATCATATTTTCCACCGACAATAACCAAAGGAATTGGAAATGGATTTATATATTCAAAATCTTCATGACTCTCATCTATTTTATTACCACAATTTTCAAATGTATCTGTTATTTCTTTCTTTTTCAATATGTTATATGATGTTTGAAGTATTGTTTCCAATGCATTCCACATTGTTTCTGGTGTCGATAAATCCAAAACGAGTACCAAAGTTGTATTCTTGTTAAGACCTTATATAAAATCATTACAAAATATAATTATTTAATTAAATTAAAATAATATTGCTGATTATTAAATAATTCATAATTACCCAAATAAACATTTAATAAATTGACAAAAGTTGTTTCTCCACCTAATTCCCAAACATGACAAATATCTTTTGCTAAACTTCTTCCTGATTTTCTTCCAAAATTATATTCCATAGCAAGTGTTTTTTTTACTGGTTCATTCTGATCTAAAAATCTTTGTATCATAGTTGATTTACCCTGAGGGAAAAATTAAAAAAATGGACATGATTATTACTAACAGTTATAAATCATTCTTTTAAATTATTCGAAAAGAAAACAGACTGATGATTTGCTTCCGACAATAATTAAACTCCTTTCTCCTATATTTGTATTTTGTATATCTAAATTCTTTTTCTTAGCAATTTCCCATAAGCTTTCTTTCCTTAAAAAATAATAATAATAATAATAATTAAAGAATTATGTGAAATCGATGAAATGTTTTGTTTAATATTTCAATAAAAACTTTTTCTTACATGTTTAAAAGATTAAAAGATTATAGAACACAGACAAAAAACCAACAAACTCTATAATATTATTTCTGTTTACATCTGCTTGTTTTCCTAGCAACTGAACAAACACATTGTTCCTTTTCGACAACTCTGTTTGTTATTCACAATCATCAATTCGAATACTTGTCACAATTTAGAATCCAGTTAAAATTAATTTTTTTTATGTAAATTTATATTTTATTCGATGAAAAGAGAATTTTCTGGGGTTATAAAAAGAAAATATATGAGAAAAAAATTTTATTTTAAAAAATTATATATATTTAAACAATTAATTTTCAAAAACAATTGTCTCTTAATATTTATATATATATATCTCAATAATAAGCATATAAATGATATATAGTAATTATATAAAAAATAAAATACAAATTAACATGCAACAAATAAGTTTTATAAAAAATTTAACATATTTAATATTTTCATGAGCTAGAACATGATAGTTTTTTTTTTCTATTGAGAAAAAAAAAAAAAATTGCATTTTAAATTTTCTTTCCATGTGTTACATATATTAATACTGAAATATAATATTTACAAACTGTAAGAATATTATAAAATTTTAAGTAATATTCAAGTTGAAATTTCAATTATTACACTATTAAGAAAAAATGGATACTCGAATGTATGTTAGTATCTAAAACTACAATTAAGCCATTTTTATTAAACTTTATTAACTGACGCCATTGAAAAAAAAATTATTTTATAACTAATTTTTATGGAACGCGTAAAATTGAAATATTTCTATGTATAACTTCAATAAAAATGAAAAAAGTTTAAAAGTACTATCAGTGAAAATTTCATTTAAGCACTAATGGTAAAAATAATTTTCATTTAAATTTTAATTTTTTTCCCGAGTTGAACACTTCAATTTTTCTTCTTGAGGTTTTCAAAACGTTTTGTTAAATCGTCAAAATCAATTTCTTCATTGTCATTTTGATTAAGTTTTGCTAAATCTTCATTAGACATTGATGGTACATCATTAGGCACATTTGGTAATTCCGGAAACAATGAATCTGAATTTTTCGGTTTTAAACCGCCTGGAGGAGACATTTTCGATCTTGGACTCGGTTTAGGTTTATTCAAATTTTCTTGATTTAAATCATTGGGCTCATCATTTGCAGCAGAATCGGATGGAGGTTGTTCAAAGTTCTAATGCAAAATTTTGAAATTTTTTATTATCGTATCAAACTTACATTCTGGACTATCAAATTGTAAAATACTTACATAAGAGTAGTTTTGTGGTTTAGGAACAGGATCATTCATTGGAGGAATATTGTAAGAAAATGGCACACCATATCCAACATTAGAAGGCTTTGGAACAACAAATCCACCAACTTTTGATGTTTGAGGCTGTGGTTGAGGTTGAGACTGTAATTAAGTAAATTTTTTAATGAATAGAAACAAACAATCAAGCAAATTGTTGACTTGAATTTTCTTTTTTAAAGTGCATCAATAATTTATTCTTTATTTAAGTAATAAAGAAAAACTTATTGATTATTTAACAGTTTAAGTTCGAGGTTTTTTAATATTTGTTTAAAAAAGAAATTAAATTAATACAAGATTGCTATTTAAATTAAATAGCTTGAAATAATAATCAAAGGCAACTTACAGGATAATTATAATTGAATGGTTGAAAATCTGATGGAGGTGCCATGGGAGGTTGAGGAAAACCTTTAAATCCAGGTGGAGATGGTACACCACCTCCGAAATTGTTTTTATTGTCATCATTTAAATCAAGAAGCATGTCAGTGGCAATTCCTTCTCTCATGACCTATAAAAAAATAATTTTTTTTTTAAATTTAAAATAAATAATGTACAATTTCAATTTATTTTTAAGTAAAATAAATAAATTAATTACTTTTTCATCCGGTTCATATTCTACGTTAAAATTTTTTGCAATTTCTATGAGGTACTTTTCGACTAATAATTTTGTCGGAGATTCAACTCCCAGTCTATGTTTTAATTTTTCAGAAATTGTATCTTTTTTATCTTCTTTGCAAGATTCAGCATAATCTTTTCCATATTTGAGAGCCAATTGTTCGCAGATAGATTTTAGTTCAGGAACCATGGCAGCCAACCTGGGACCTGCCCATAATATACTAGAAATAGCTTCTTCCAATCCTGGATCAACATTTCTGAAAACATTATGTGTTTTTGTAAAATACATCATTTATTTACATAAATGTTAAGTCAACAGTTTTAAAACATAAAATATATCATTTTAAATTAATATCACATCAGATAAGAATTTTATAAATACAAATTTATTTAACTACGTAAATAAATTCAAAAGAATGGCATTACGAATTTTGATGTTATTATTTTAAATTTACTATCTAAATAAGAAATATTTGTGATAGCAAAGGTTATTTAACAAAACATCAACGATTAAATATATAATAAACAAAAAATTTTCGAACTGTCAAAACATATTTACTCCAATAATTTAATTAACAAAGCTTACTTCATTTGTTGCAAGAGACCAAATCTAGCTAATAACAAGTCGCAAAACATTTCTACCATTTCCATGGCTTCTACCATGTAATCTTCTCGAATAATGTGTTCAACCCTTATCTTAGCTCTTTCTGCTTTACCAGTTTCAATAAAATCAGCAATTTCCCTTCTAGATTTTTGTGCTAATTCCATTTTTTTCTTTTCTAACAATTTCAATCTGTTAATGGCTAATCTTAGAAAAGTTTTTAATTTTGTATAATTAACTCCACTTGAAAACATTATTTTTGAAAAAAATTTTTTATAAAAATTTAAAATTAAGTCTATAGCGTAATAAAAAACTAATAACGATTATTCTAACTAAAAATAATAATATAAATTTATCAAGATAAAGTGTCCTCCACGAATCTTACAACACTGTCCTGAAACCATAATTGATGTGAGTCATAACTAATATGATAAAAATAGCCCATTTCCTTTTAGCAGCAAAAATTTTTTTCATGTTGGTGTTACAAATAAATAATTTTACATTTTTTGTGATTAGTTGTAAAGTCATTTTGAGATCAAATTAATTATACGAAAGAAGTTACTTTGGGTTTTTTTAAATAAAAGAAATTATTTCGTACGAATTTTAGCCATGACCCTTAACATTTTAGACTTGTTGCTCTTCAAAACAAAATTTATAAACTTGTCAAAGGAGTCCGGTTGTAAATATTACTATTATGGTTTTATAAGTACATCTTCCCCAATGAAATGTTTTCAGAGTTTTAATATTGGATGACACGTAGCAGGCATAAATTTTCTCGAAAGAAAAATAGGTTTAAGTTTTTGATTTGTTGATCAGCATATTTTCCTAAATGGTATTTCACCAATGTTGATTTTTTAACAGAGGTACTTGGATGAGTACTAAGTAAGTAATTTTTCAAATTAACATTAATTTTTAAATAAATAAAAAAACAAGTTTTTTTTAAAAGTTGAAATCAACTTTTTCAACATTAGGTTTTTTTTTATCTTTTTATTTTTCCAAGAATTGAAACTGGTTTAATTAAAATAATAATAATTGTAATATTGGTGACACTTCTTTGTGGATTTTAATGTAGGTTGGAGCTTTCTAATTTTTTTTTCCTTTAGTTTGACTTTATTGTTTTTTAATTTTCATAAAAAATTGGTTTGCATTTTTACTTTTACACTTTATAAAATTGTTTCTTTTTATAGTTTTTGCTTCATTTATATAATTTCAGTTTCGATAATAGTTAAATATTTATTAGAATTTCAGTTGTAATATACAGAATTATGGCATAAAATTAATTATATAACATTATATTAAAGAGATTATATATTGCAAATATTTTAAAGTTATTTTTAAGTTAATTATAAAATTATTTAATTGTTTTATATAATCTAAGTTAATTTTAAAATAAAAAAATTTTTAAATTATCTATCGTCAATATATCTGTAAAAAAGTGACGTCTAAGTCTTATTATTCAGTTATTAATTCAAAGCATTCATTTACTTTTTTTACTTACAATTTTTGTGAAAATATTTAAAAAATGGTTTTTGTATTATAGGTTCCTATTGAATATATTTTATAAAATGGTAATATCTTTTCAAAAAAAAATAAGATAGCATTAAAAATATGCGAATTCTGCATTTAAAAAAAAGTCGTGCAGTGAGATTGGTTGCTGCTGTATTTATTTTAACTCCGATATTATATCTTTTATACACTTCTAAAAGTTCAGAAGAGGAGGAACTTCCTAGAGCTTCTCATAAAAGATATAAAGCAGTAAGTTTTTTTAATATTTAATTATTAATTTTGTTTTTGTATAAATTAATGGATGGATAATCAAAACTAAAATTAAAATTCAGTCATTTTTTATAATATTAACATGTTATTACGAAATCGTTATTTTTACAAATTGAAATATAAAAAGGTTTTTTTGTAATCTTATTTAAATAAATATATATATTTTTATTTTTTAAAACAATAGAAACCCCAGTTAAGCAACAGTAATGGAAATTTTGAGCCTAGAGAGGAAGAAATAAGTGATGGGCCTGGTGAAGGAGGTAGACCTCACAAGCTGAGGGAAGATCAACAAAATGATGCATCACAATCTTTGGCTGATTATGGAATGAACATAGCTTGCTCCGATGAAATATCTTTAGATAGATCTATTCCTGACACAAGACTGCCTGAGTATGTAGCTTTGATTATTTTTGGGATTTGTAAATTTTACATTTACATCATTTTATTAAACCCAACTTAACATTTGTATATTTCATCGAAACAATTTATTAATTTTTTAGATGTAAAAGATGGATGTATCCGGAAGATCTGCCTAAAGCCAGTGTAATTATTGTATTTCACAATGAAGGTTGGTCTACTTTGTTGAGAACTGTCCACAGTGTAATCAATAGAACTCCACCACAATTTTTAGAAGAAGTTTTAATGGTAGATGATTTTAGCGATAAAGGTAGGTAGTTTTGATTTTTTTTTTTTTTTTTTTTCATTTTGATCCATGTGAAAAAATAATTTTTTCATCGCAATATCTTTCATCTTTGTAGAAAACCTAAAAGAATTAGATGATTACATACTAAGATTTAATGGAAAAGTTCGTTTAATACGTAATTCAGAAAGGCAGGGACTTATCAGAACGAGATCAAGAGGAGCGGTAGAAGCAAGAGGAGAGGTTATAGTTTTTCTGGATGCACATTGTGAAGTTAATAAAAACTGGTTGCCACCTTTATTGGCTCCAATTTATTATGATAGGTAATGAAAGCAGTAAAAAAAAAAAAAAAATATAAAATTGTTCAAATGATTTTTTTTTTTATACAATCTCGATTCTTTTTTTTTTTTTTTTAGGACTACTTTAACAGTTCCAGTTATCGATGGAATTGATCATGACACATTTGAATATAAGCCGGTGTATGTAGATGGTCATCATTACAGAGGAATATTCGAGTGGGGAATGCTTTACAAAGAAATCGAACTCACAGATCAATTTGCAAATGCAGATAATAGAAAATATAACAGTGAACCTTACAGGTAATCATTTCATTTTTTAAACTGAGATTAATAATAATTTGTAATCGAATAAAAATGTTTTTTTTCCAGATCTCCTACGCATGCAGGTGGATTGTTTGCAATCGATAGAAATTATTTTCTTGACATTGGTGCTTATGACGATGGCTTACTGGTCTGGGGGGGAGAAAATTTTGAATTATCCTTCAAGGTGAAAGAACTTTTAATATAGTTGTAATTAAACTAGTTTTAAAATTGTATTTAATGCCTTTTTCTTTTAACGAATATTTAGGTTTGGCAATGTGGAGGAAGAATTTTATGGGTTCCATGTTCTAGAGTAGGACACGTTTATCGTAGCTTTATGCCTTACACATTTGGCAGCCTTGCTAAAAATAAAAAAGGACCTTTAATTACAATTGTAAGTTTTTCCATTACTAAGCATTTTAATTGTCTTTTTGTAACTGTAATTGTTTTATTTTTTTCACATTGCAATCATCAAATTTTTAGAATTATAAACGTGTCATAGAAACATGGTTCGACGAAAAGTATAAAGAATTTTTTTACACGAGAGAACCTTTGGCCAGGTACTTAAACATGGGTGATATTTCAAAGCAATTGGCTATGAAAGAAAGATTACAATGCAAATCATTTCAATGGTTTATGGAAGAAGTTGCTCCTGATTTGCTGACGAAATTTCCAGAATTACCACCCAACGTACATTGGGGTGAAGTGAGTAGCACACAATGTTTTCACATTGAAAAATCATTATTATTATATTTAATTAAGGGAAATAATTTATTTTTAGCTTCGCAATTTGGCTACATTAAAATGTTTGGACACTTTGGGACACGGTCCTCCGGCTAGAATGAGTGTGTCTGAATGTCACGGTTTTGGAAATAATCAGGTAAATATAAATTTTGACAATTTTGAGTTAAAATTTTTTTATAATTGTACAAAATGTGGTAATTACAAACATGACCTTTTTACTTGCACATTGTTGTTTCGGCTTTTTATTTATGAATCATTTTAATTTTCATTTCACAGTTAGTAAGACTCAACTCGCAAGGACAGCTCGGGATCGGTGAAAGATGCATAGACGGTGGAAAACAAGGGATCAGACTCGTATTTTGTCGACTGGGTTCCGTGGATGGACCTTGGCAATACGACGAGGTAAAAATTTTTGTCACTTTTTGTGTTTTTTAAAAATATTTAAAAATAACGATAATTGACGCCATTTTGTCTCGGGTTGCAGAAGGGTAGGACTTTATTACACGTCAAAATGCAAATGTGTTTGGCTTTACATCCTCAAACATCTCAACTTTCTCTCATGCCTTGCGATTATAATAATTCATTCCATCAATGGATATTCAAAGAAATTCATCCGAAATGGTAGCAATAGTTTAAGTAGAATAATAATAATAATAATACCTTTATAAAATCTCATTAAAATAAAAATAAAAAAAAAAAAAAAATGTATAACTTTGTTTTTTTAAGTTATCATAATTTGTGACTTAATATTATAATAATAATTATTTAAAATTTATATGAAAGATGAAAGGAAGGAAGGAAGGAAGGAAGGAAGGATGTAAGGTAATTTTAATTTAAGTTATTTAAGGCAGTTAATTTTTATAAAAAAAAAAAAAAATTATTTTATTTTAATTTAATGAACTTTTTTTTTTAATCAAGCCTACGTTTTAATATAATACTTGATTAATAAATAAATAAAAATTAAAAATTAATTTTTTTTTTTTTTATTCCTTATTAGATTTTCATTATAATCGACATTACTTAAAAATTAATTATCCTTTAAAAAACGAAAACAAAATGTTTCTACGCCATTTGAAAACCACAATTTTTATTTTTTTCGTACGTAATTATTTTAAATAATGAATGAAATTTAATAAGAAAAAAAAAAAAAAGTTTCGCTCCAACGAATATGTTTTTACGTGGAAGGTATTTGACCATGGTTGAAAAATTACGTTTTTTTTTCTTCTAATAAAAGGCGGTGGAAATTAGTCAACCCGAGGCAGACAGATGGTTGGTGTTAGCACGATATTAAAAAAAAAAAAAAATTATTTAATTAATTATTTATTTAAAATGAGCGAATTGGATGCCAATGACGGTAAGTTAACTTATTTTATTAACTTTTAAATATAAAAAAAAAAACGGAGAAAAGTTTTAAACATTATATAATTATTAAAATGATAAAATTATGTTAAAGTAACAAAATGTCATCATCATCATCATTATCATCATCATATTAATAATTCTTTTTAACAAAACTATGCTTCTTATTTAATAATTAATTTTATTATAAAATAATTTATTAAAATTAAATTTGATTAATTTATTAAATATATTAAGGAAAT